ATCCTGCTCAACCATACACTGATAAAGACTACATTCTTTTGGTGAAAGAATACAAATGACTGATCATGACATCTTATGCATTCAACAATGTACTAATCTGTCTAATCAAGAAATTTGTGTTAAAATGAGATGTTTCCCATTTTTCTATGTGCTCCAGAAGCCAAGATGTCACTCTGACAGAATAAATCCTTATTCTTTAGTTTCTTTAGACCAACAGCTTTTCAGACTGTTTCATGAACTTTTAAGAGTTAAATTTATTGACTATGAATCATAACTTTACTCTAAGTTACAGAAATGGTTTAGAAATGTTTGGTTTATATTTTAGTTGTTTATTTAGTATTTTAACCATTAGGTGGTTATAATATCATTGAATAATCTGAATGTGAGTATTTAGAATCCATTATTAATCATGATGACGTTCATTCACATATGTTTACTATTTTGTTGTTCACAGTTTCCATGTGTTACTATCTGTTTCATTTTAGAGTAATTTAGCATGTTCAATGTGATACTTAAAACATAATGAGAATGTTTGATGTGATCCTACACTTCATTCATATGTGTTTAGTATCAAATTATTTATCATGAAACCAAGCATTCAATGATATTAATCATAGTGAGTATCAGATCTGACTCTTTTACCAGCCAAAAGAATGAGTTAGATCAAATAATCAGAGATCCCACGAACCCTCCTCTTTCTCCTCACACACACACACGCCAGAGACACTCCCAGTGTGAGAAGATAAAACCAGTGAAGTGGGGTTGCTCACTCTCTTGTACCGCTTATGCCCTTCTGCAAATCTTCTCCTACTCTTCTCCCCTTTTTTGCTCTTCTGTCCACACCCTTCTGTGGTCCTCTTTTTTGTTTTCTCTTAGATCTTTTTCTTAGTCTACTAAGTTTTACGCCACGTGTTGATTCACGTTGATTTTTCTTTAACATCGTCTTAGTTCAAGTTTTAAAACTTCAACTTTTTGTGCGCATAGCAATTCAAGATTATCCTTTGATTGATTTTTCTTTAATTTCGTGAAGCCATTTTTGAAAGTTATCTCTGCTCATCGAACCTCGTTTTTCTGAGTTATCTGCGTGATTTCAAAGTCACCTCTAAACGCAACCCAGCAGGCCCAGGTCATCCTCTGTGCCAGAGTTTTTGAGTGAGACCAAAGAAGCATCCAAATGAGCATCCACAGGATCCACAGGCGCCGGCTTTACTTCAGGCCCAAGTGCTACAACTCCTGGCCCATTCTTCGGCTGACTTCAGTCGTCTTCTGAGCTGAACCGCTCGAACCGCCGGTAGCCCCGGACCTTCGGAACCTGCTCCATCTTCTCCAAGGACCAGTCTCACTTAAGTATGCAAACCTCCAGAGCTCCAAACAGGGCTGATGCTTTCTCATGCGTTCATAACTCAGATATCCACTTATTCTGGTAATCTTAGATTCTTCCAAATCCACATCCGAGTTTATCTCGACACCAAAGTTATTGTAGGTTAATATGTTAGAGCATATTCACTCACTATCATTAACTTTAGTGCTCCTAGCCTGACTCAGAATCTCTATTTATTCACCTATTATTATTTATCCTCATTATCTTGAAGACTTAAAAACAGGCAACTGGACTGTGTAGAGTTAAGAAGACGTTTCGCCTCTTATCCAAGAAGCTTCTTCAGTTCTAAAAGTGCTAGTGTCAGGAGCAGATATTTATCTTACTGGAGAAGGGGGACAGTTAACTGTCCCCCTTCTCCAGTAAGATAAATGGGGGACAGTTAACTGTCCCCCTTCTCCAGTAAGATAAATATCTGCTCCTGACACTAGCACTTTTAGAACTGAAGAAGCTTCTTGGATAAGAGGCGAAACGTCTTCTTAACTCTACACAGTCCAGTTGCCTGTTTTTAAGTCTTCAAGATAACCACGACCTGGATGAATGAGAATCTACATGGACTTATCCTCATTATCTTATTATCATTTATTGCATGTATGTTGTACCATCATTTATCCTGTAATAAACAGATAATTATTTTTCTGAGTTCTTGTCTGTTAGTGTTCTTCCAGAAGTGGAGTCCCTGAAATGAGAATTTCGGCTCAAGATATGAGATTGATTAATTAATGATTGACTTGATGTTTGATTTCTGAATTAAACTTTAGTTTTCTTTATTTTCCCACCATTAGGGGTGGGTGGTGCCCCTTTCAACGAGTGCATAAATGTCATAATTTGAGATTATTAATCTTCAGACATTTATTTTAAATTCAAATCGCTACATACTTAACTTAATAAAACATTAATAGTTCCCTGAATTTGCTTGCTGAGATGTGTTGATTTTAATCAATATTAGAGTGGGCCCACTCGTAGTAGAGGGACAGTGTGAATAAAGGTGTCCAGAGAGACAAGAATAGATACTTAAGTCCTTGGAGGACGTGTTGATAAATATTGAAGTAACAGGTACTACTGTCTGGTAGTCTGACGAACTGACCGCTCGACGGCCCCGATTCAGACTTCAGCAGTAGGGTACCTCTGGGTTTTGCAAAAGATGTCATTGCATGACAAGAATATGTTGAATTGGTACTTCTGTCTAAGTGTCTGACGGACTGACCGCTTGACGGCCCCGATTCAATCATTAGCAGAGTGGTACTTCTGTTTTTTTTATATGAAGACGTCATTGGATGATGCAGTTGTGTTATTGTTGTTACTGTTTAATAGTCTGACGGCCTGACCGCACGACGGCCCCGATTCAGTCATTAACAGGTACTTCTGTCTCTGTTTGAACGAACTGACCGCTCGACGGCCCCGATTCAGACTTCAGCAGTAGGGTACCTCTGGGTTTTGCAAAAGATGTCATTGCATGACAAGAATATGTTGAATTGGTACTTCTGTCTAAGTGTCTGACGGACTGACCGCTTGACGGCCCCGATTCAGTCATTAGCAGAGTGGTACTTCTGTTTTTTTTATATGAAGACGTCATTGGATGATGCAGTTGTGTTATTGTTGTTACTGTTTAATAGTCTGACGGCCTGACCGCACGACGGCCCCGATTCAGTCATTAACAGGTACTTCTGTCTCTGTTTGAACGGACTGACCGCTTGACGGCCCCGATTTATTCAGTGGCAGTTGTAGTGTGATTTTGTATAGGGAAATCTACGTATTGAGTGATATCGACCCATAACAGCTACGCTTTTCATTAGGTAACATGTGAAAATCCTAAATAAGGAATTGTATATGATCACACGAACTAAACAGTTTTGACACTTTACATACTAACAAGTAGTCTTAGTTTTACTAATTACTGTACCTTTACCTTACAATGGCTTCACAGCCCTGCAAATTAAAAGGGCTTGACTTGCCCAGAAAAGAAAGAAAAGCGATAAAAGAATTGTTAAAAGATGCTCCCCAGTGGAACACTGTTCCAGTTAAGCCTGTTGCTCTGATGTCAGCTAGGGGGTGGATGCATATGAAATTGGGGTTTTACTATGTTGAACCTTTTTTGTCAAATTTAGCGGAATGGACAGATAATCGATTTCCAAAGGAAGGCAGTTTTGACAAAAAAATTAAACATTGTACGTGAATTGTTGATAGATAATACTGCTATTGCCATTCCTCTCTGGAATATGGATTACATGACAGAAGTGTATCATGTTTTGGCCTCAATGGCTAATCAGTTCCCTGGTAATATTAGTAAAGTAGAAAAGAAAAAGAAAAGGACTGTTTTTTCTGTGACGCAGAAGACTGTCCAAGTACAACCTGGAAAAGGTGACAGTCCTGTTGCACTGTCTTTTAACTCCCCAGAGTCATTGCCTCCACATTTGACCCTCCCCAGTGCACATGTAAATGATGACATTGATGACGATGACAGCTGGCTCTTTCTCCATGTGATGGAAGAAAGTGAACAGCCAGGTCGGTGCCCAGAATAAGCTCCACCGTCTTGTTTGCCGATGTAGGGGTGCCGAATCTTGCAATGAGAAAGTTTCAGAGTGAGTGCATTGAGCGATGCCTCCAAAATTGTAAAAAAAACGTTCGAGAGTATAAGCACAAAATTCATGCTTGACAAAGATAAAGCTCATAGTGCTAAACTACAGTATGTCAGAGAATACATGTCTTGTGAATTTAAGCGCATGTTTAAAATAATAAAAAAAGGTTATGATATCTCTCTGAATGATTTATCAAAGCCATTGGTTGACTGCTTCATATCAGTTTTACGCCGATATGAGACAGACTCTAAGGGCTCTATTTTCGTGCCTCGCCGGAGACGTGCCGCAAGCGCAGCGTCAGTCAGATCCGCCGCGCTGACAAGGCGTGTCCAAGCACATTTTGGTATTTTGGTGAGCTGCGCAGCCCGGCGTAAGTATCCCCCCTCCCTAACTCAGCTCCTCCCAGCAGCATAAGTCGTAGACGGGGAGGAGAGAGGGCGTGTAGTGGGTTTAACACAGCTGAGACCTGTTTTCACCAATCACATAAGCTCCTCTCCTTGCCTTTAAATCCGCCACAGGCGAGGCGTATTACTATTTTCATGAAGTAGTCAAAGAGATCAAGAGATGTCTTAAGACAGTAATACCACAAGATGGCGACAGAGGGCAGCTCCTCAACAAGTGTCACTGTCGCATTGGGTGTCCTCCACACTCCCTCCTATGAGCACAGATGGGTTTGGTGTGTATAGTTGGACCCACTGGTAAGACAAACACCCTTTTCCACAGATAAAGACACTCACATAAAGTTGCATATATTCAAACCTCACGTGACAAAGGTGGGTTGAGGCACAGATCACAACATAAACTCCAAAAATAGCATTAAAACTGGAACCATCTGTGCGTAAATGACGCATCGCACTCCATGGCCTGGCTCTTTCTTTCATAGATGTTGGCATATAAAATAAATTTGGCTCACAAAACTGAATATTATAATATTCGTATGTCGGCTTAAAGTAGATAACGCATCTGAGCACTGAAACAAAACATCTGTTCAGCCGCCGACGCAGCAAGACGGACAGAGGACACGGAGACGTGTCCAGGTCGAGCTGTGCGAGAAATAAGAGGAAGAGGAAGAAAGAAAAGGAGGGAGACAAATTACATATCTTGTTAACTTCATCATGTGTGTTTATTTACTAGATATTTAATTTAATTTGATGCGGTTTCAGCTGTGTTGATTCGGTCAGGTTGTGTGTCCAAACGCGTGCCAAACGCGCTCATCAGATCACATATAGATCAAAATATATCTATATAGATCTAAATGTATGTGCTGACTCAGATTAATAGTTGTTGATGATTATTTATTGCACTGAAATGTGCCTGACACTGTGGAAACCTGCCGGTGAGGCATCAGTGACGTATGTCGATACACCGCCGGTCTACCAAAATACTACTAGACCAGCTGTGCTCCGCCATGCGCTGAAAGCTGACCAGGTTTGAATCGGCAAGCTTTCAGCGCACTTTACACGCCAGTGGCGAGCACGAAAATGTCACTGCGCCTGCTGATTCTGTCCACACCTCCCCCTGCCACGCCACCACGCCCAGCTTGGCGGATCTCGGCTCGCCTCCGTCCACGAAAATACCAAACTGGCCTTACGCCGGGCTCCGCCAGACGAAAATACAACTGCGCGGGGCTCGCCGCCCTCCGCCGCCTCACCGGCGCGCACGAAAATAGAGCCCTAAGACTCAACTTGATTTAACAAAGCCCATTAGAAGCAGGCAGTTTCATGCTTTTATTTCAAGAATTTCTGATGCTGAAACACAGGCCATTTCTAAATTCCTTGAGCACCAGTTGAGTGACATGAAGGACAGTGAGCTGAGAACCCCGTCCGCTGTCAAAGATGATGTAAATCTGGTGACACCACTCATTACTGTCGATAATCGTGTAATGGATAAACCATTGACTCTCATTGATATCTTTCGGATTACTAGAGATGCTCCCTCACCGCTGAACAATCCTACAGCATTTATGAATTGGTGGACCACGGCATTAATGCATACATCTCTGTCCGGACGAGATGTTAGATACATTCTTGCCACACTAATGCCTCACATCAAGATAGATACTCTAATTGCAGAATGTGACAATTTACGGTACCGATATGATGGGCCAGTAGAAGGGGAGGAGACCATTGAAGGAAAGTATCCCTGGTTAAGCAGAGACCATAAAACTGAGCATATTGCTGAACTTACTAAATTCCTTGAAAAAAAATGCAGCACAGGACCGGGACATTACCCAGGTCTTAAATTGTCAACGTAAACAGAATGAACCGATAGCTGAATATGCTTCTAGATTCTTGCAATGCTGGAAAAGACAAGCCAAATTACAGATTAAGGAAGAAGAGGATCCCTTTTCTGCCTCTATGTTTTTGAACGGATTGGATCAAAATGCTTTGTACACCCTTAGAGTGGTTGCACCTGATATTTATACCTATGATCCTAGTAGACTTTTGAAGAAAGTTAGAGAACTTGATGCCATAGGCCTCTTTGCAGCATCCAAAAATAAAACACAAGCAGTCCAGCTGAGTACCGACGTAAAAGAATCCGTCCATGCATTCCAACATGTACAACCAACCAGGGGCAGAGGAAATTTTAGACGTTACAGAGAGCAAGGGCCATTTGAACCCTCTCTGTACATACCGGATACTTTTCAGTCAACCCGAAGGGTGAATATTTTCCCCCAAGGCGGAGAGGACGGGGACGAGGAAGAATGATGGACATGAATGATCGGTGCCTGTACTGTTGTGAAGTTGGACATTGGGTAAAACAGTGACCCTTAAAAAGGGCCCAAGGTTCACAATATGGGCCTATAAATCAAATGCCTCCCTATTATCCTCCTCATATGACCTCTGGTTTCTCTCCACAGACCAATACACAAAGGATGATATCTGGAAGTCATCCCTCAACCCAGGGTCCTCCGGACAGAGGGACAGCTTCTTCTTCATTGTGGAAGCAATGATATAACTGACAGTTGTGGGGCATGAACAGACTTGATTACTCTACAATAATTATAAATATTCCACAATTTCATGTTTCCAATGAACAAGCTGAGACACCTCAATTAAGTATGCAAGTTTCTGGTAAACCTATTAAGTTCCTAGTTGACACAGGGGCAACTACATCATATTTAAGAAAAAAGCAGTTGCCCTTTGAGTAATCTCTCTGTTCAATCTGTCGGTATCTCTGGAGTCCCACAACTAGAGCCCCTGTCTGTTCCGCTGCCTGTTGATCTGGATGACATCAAACTGCAACATTCCTTTGTTGTTAGTGCTACAATACCGGTGTCCTTACTGGGACGTGATATATTAAGTAAATTAAATGCGGTCATTACGTGTTCCCCTGATGGTATTGAGGTTTATATTCCAGCAGACAAGACATATCAACTATTCTCCCATCTTGTTGAAGTGTCACATAATGCCACCAGTGTATTGACAAACTGTGATTTTATCTCTGACCTGTTTACTTTGACGAATATCAAAAAATTGGCATCTTGTCAGGCTGCCAGTGCGGCGTTGATCATACATTTGAAATCCGTCAATATGCCCTTTTCTGATGAAGTAACTGGTCCTACTGACATGGAGGAATTTCCACAGCGTTTTTTGGTCTCCGAATGGTCTTGTACTCTTATGGAGAAACAAGAAACAGGTTATTCATTTTTTTATCTGTGCTGTTCGAACTGATTTTGGGGATATTGACCATCTTTTGATTTCCTGTCAAGACTATCTAAATAGGACACTTGACCAAATTGATCAAAACAAGGATTATATCATCTGGTCTTATGGACCGGAACCTACGCATTTCTTTATCAAACTTTTGAAAATGGTGGACAGACCCTTGATTTCTCCAGTGGATCATAAAGAAATCCTGTTGCAACCGCCTTCGATCTTAGTGGCTGCACCTTCTAAACTTTGGGCTTTGCATGCAAATCATGTAGGATTATTGAATGTGCCACCATATCAGGCCAAAATTAATCCTAAGAAATACCCAGTGTTTGTTAAACAGTATCCTCTATCTAAAGAAAAAGAAAAAGGCATAAGACCAGTAAAGTAAACTGTTTTGGAGCAAGGGGTGATTGTTAATCGACGTTCCCAAAACAACACCCCGATAAATCCTATTCTTAAACCTGGAACTAATGAAGGAGAATGCATTCAAGATTCTGTGGCCTTGTTGACACATCTTGCTGAAAGAGGTCACCGAGCATCACTTGCAAAGCTCCAATTCTGTCAGGAATCGGTCAACTATCTGGGCTATGTTCTGCGAGCGGGGTGCAGGTATTTATCTCCGGAACGGGTGTCAGCCATTATGGACATTCAAAGACCTCGGATGAAAACTGAAATGTTATCCTTTTTGGGACTGGTGAACAATTGTCGACCCTGGCTTGCGGATTATGCCTTTTTTGACTCTGTGTTAAGAAGATCAACTCTCCAAGATGCACCTGAAACTTTAAACTGGACTGAGGATATGAGACATGCCTTTCGTCATATGAAGTATCTTTTGTGCTCGGCCCCCGTGTTGGGGCTTCCAGACTATAACCTTGACTTCCATCGATATGTATTGGACAATGGGGAAGTCACCTCTGCAGTTTTAGCACAAACACATGGTGAACGAATGAGACCAGTGGCATATTATTCCAAATCCCTTCCGTTGATTGTACAGGGCATGGTCCCCTGCTTATGAGCTGTGGCTGCTGCTGGTTTTAGGATATCCTTTGACCCTTCACACCTCGCATGCGGTCAATGTTATCCTTCTTAACATAACAACCCAACATATGACTAGTCAGAGAAGAAGCAATTATGAAAATATTTTGACAGGAGCGCAAAATCTGATCATTTCTACAGCAACTCATACTAACCCTGCCATACATTCAAAGTCCTTATTACACGGAGATAAGGAGATAGATGATGTCTAGGGACATGATTGCATGGACTTATCAATTCAACATCTAGGGCTCTATTTTCGTGCCTCGCCGGAGACGTGCCGCAGGTGCGGTGTAAGTCAGGTCCGCCGCGCCGACAAGGCATTCCCAAGCACAATTTGGTATTTTGGTGAGCGGCGCAGCCCGGCGTCAGTATCCCCCCTCCCTAACTCAGCTCCTCCCAGTGGTGTAAGTCGTAGCGAAGGAGGATATAGGGCATGGAGTGGATTTAACACAGCCGAGACCTGTTTTCACCAATCCCATAAGCTCCTCTCCTTGCCTTTAAATCCGCCACAGGCGAGGCGTATTACTATTTTCGGGAAGTAGTCAAAGAGATCAAGAGATGTCTGAAGACAGTAATGCCACACGATGGGGACAGAAGGCAGCCCCTCAACAAGTGTCACTGTAAGCGCTGCATTGGGCGTCCTCCACACTCTCTCATATGAGCACAGATGGATTTGGTGTGTGTAATGTTGGAACCACTGGTAAGACAAACACCCTTTTACACAAATAAAGACACTCACATAAAGTTGCATATATTCAAACCTCACGTGACAAAGGTGGGTTGAGCGCACAGATCACAACATAAACTCCAAAAATGGCATTAAAATCGGAACCACCTGTACGTAATGACGCATCGCGCTCTGAGGCCTGGCTCTTTCTGTCATAGATGTTGGCATATAAAATAAATTTGGCTCACAAAACTGAATATTATAATATTCGTATGTAGGCTTAAAGTAAATAACTCATCTGATCACTGAAACAAATCATCTGGGGCCTCATGTATCAACACTTGCGTGGAACTCATACCAGAAACGAGCGCACGCAAGGTCCGTCACGCTGAAAAAAATCCGTATGTATCAATGTGTGCGGGCGCCGAAATCCACGTGTGTTTCCTTGATAAATCCCAATCAGCGTGGAATTGAGCGCAGATGTCGGAGTGACTGGGCCCGTCCCCGTTACGCCCTCCTATAAATATGCAGATTTATTGAAATAAGGTCTCCCTGTCCTCGCACGCAGACAAAATGACAAGAAAAACTACATTTACGGCGTGCGAGGTGGAGGTGCTGGTGGCGGAGGTGGAGGAGCGACAGCGTGTTTTGTTTGGCAGCCTGTCCAGTGGCGTCAGTGCAAAACAAAAACGCTTGGAGTGGGAGAAAGTTTGCGAGAGGGTGAATGCGGTGGGTTCCGAGACACGCACCCCCGCGAAGATTAAAAAAAAGTGGTCGGACCTCAAGGTGGAGGTCAAGCGGCGTACAGCTGCCCCCCGGAGGAGTACTGGCCAGACAGGTGGGGGTCCGGGGGAGGAGACCCTCACACCGTTTGAGCAGCGGGTGGTGGCGATTATTATTATAGGGTAAGTGGCGTGTCACACAAATGTCCACATGCTTTGCCATCCCACTGAGCAAAAGACGTATATTAGACGTCTAGTCTAAGTTTATACTTCATTTCAACGTCGGGATTCAGTCTATTTTTAGACGTGATTTATACTTCGCCCTTAACTTCATTTTTCGATAACTTTTTATGCAATAAACAACAGAAATGTGCATAACTGACCTCGAAACACTGGATTACATTACCTATGATACCGTGGAGAGAGATGTAAACGGAACAGATACACAGAAGCAGGAATTGAAATGAACAAATATTTTTATTGTGTCACAGAAATCAATGTGTCGGCCGTGTCGCCGGCTTGCGGAACCCCGGCCCGCGGCAGCCCGTCCACCGGCTTGGAGTCGTCAGCCAGGACCAGCGGCATTCGGGCCCCCGGCCCCAGCACCAGCACCAGCATCAGCACCAGCGCGCCGACAAGCGGTGGAGCGTCCACCAGCCGCGGCGCAGTGGAAGGGTCCTCGCAGAGGGGGTCCTGCAATCGCAGGAAGAAATCATCAGGGGGATCGCGGAGATCAACGAGCGGCTGGACCGGCTCGTAAATGTCCTCGAGCGTCTGGTGGAGAAAATAAATTAATTTGGCTCATTGAACTGTGTATTCACTTCTTACCCATTCACACTGTGGCGATGAGATTCTCCCGCGCGAGGACGGCGGCCCGGCAGGGATCAGCTCGCATCCCTCCGTCTGCTGCTGGTTCGTCATGTGGGGCGACGTGCTGCTCGGCCACGGGGATGTGGTGCACGCTTGTCACATAGTGAGTCACCAAACACCGCCACACAGCGTCGCCAAAGTGCGAATCACAGTCAACGCAAGTATCGGCTCAACGCCAATTTCTACACCACCTCCTGACTTTGCGTTGATTAGCGCTGGAACCGACGCTCGTTTCGCGATGATAAATCTGGACGTGTGTGCCGATTTTGGCGTACGCAAGGTTTTCTTGCGCCGCAAGCGTTGATACATGAGGCCCCTGTTCAGCTGCTGCAGCAGGACGGAGAGAGGACACGGAGACGTGTCCAGGTCAAGCTGCACGAAAAATAAGAGGAAGAGAAAGGAAGAAAAGGAGGGAGACAAATTAGATATCTTGTTGACTTCATCATGTGTGTCTATTTACTAGATATTTAATTTAATTTAATGCGGTTTCAGCTGTGTTGATTCGGTCAGGTTGTGTGTCCAAACACGTGCCAAACATGCTCATCAGATCAGATAAAGTTCAGAATATATCTATATAGAACTAAATGTATGTGCTGACTCAGATTAATAGTTGCTGATGATTATTTATTGCACTGAAATGTGCCTGACACTGTGGAAACCTGCCGGTGAGGCATCGGTGACGTATGCCGATACGCCGCCGGTCTACCAAAATACCACTAGACCAGCTGCGCTCCGCCTGCGCTGAAAGCTGACCAGGTTTGAATCGGCGAGCTTTCAGCGCACTTTACACGCCACTGGCGAGCATGAAAATGTCACTGCGGCAGCTGATTCTGTCGACACCTCCCTCTGCCATGCCACCACGCCCAGCTTGGCGGATCTCGGTTCGCCTCCGTGCGCCTCAGTCAATGAAAATACCAAACTGGCTGTACGCCGGACTCCGCCAGACAAAAATACAACTGCGCGGGGTCCGCCACCCTCCGTCGCCTCACCGGCGTAGACGAAAATAGAGCCCCTAGTGCAAGGACAGACTTGCAACAGACACCATTGGAGAATGGTGAGTTAGTCCTCTATTGTGATGGATCTGCAATGAGACCAGATGATTCAACTACCCTTGCAGGTTATGCTAATGTAGATGATCAAGGCCATTGCCTAGAATCCTACAAATTACCAGTTTCCTCTGCTCAGGCAGCAGAGTTAGTAGCTTTAACTAGAGCCTGCCAAATTGCCAAAGATAAGAGTGTAACCATATATACTGATTCTAAATATGCTTTTTCTGTGGCACATGATTTCAGTAAAATCTGGAAGAACAGAGGATTTGTCACCATTGCTGGTAAGCCAATTCAACACGCCAATCTAGTTAAAGAATTGCTTGCAGCCATGATGTTGCCGGATCAAATCGCAGTTGTAATATGTACAGGCCATTCAAAATCTGATAAGGAAGTTGCTCTGGGTAATAATTTAGCCGACAAATATGCTAAAGATGCGGCCCTTAATGCACCCCTCTCTCTCCTTGGATGGTCTCTCATTACCCCTCTCTCCAACTCTCTGACCCTCCCTATACGGTGGATGATCTTGTTTCACTTCAAAATCAAGCCTCGCCTTATGAGATTAAATGATGGCAGAAGGGGGGTTGTTATAAGGACGTGGATAACTTGTGGAAGTATCAAGATCAAAGAATTGCCCTCCCGGAACTAGCATATGATCCACTCATAGCATTTGTTCATGGGGTTACATATGCTAGTTATACAGCGGTGACTGACTACATCTCTCGATTGTTTTATACCATAGGATTGGAAAAACGAGTTCAACAATTTATCCAACGTTGTCTTATCTGTGCAAGATGCAATCCTAATACGCATCCTCCACGACATGGGCATCTCCTCAAGCCTTCTGGTCCTTTTGAGTGTCTGCAAATTGACTTTACACATATGCCTAGATGTCAAGGCTATTCATATCTTTTGGTTATTGTCGACAGATTCTCTAAATGGCCAGAAGCATTTCCTGCTAGAAAGGAAAACGCACAAACGGTGATTAAATGCTTGATGGAACATGTGATACCACAGTTTGGTATTCCCACTTCTACTGATTCAGACAATGGCACCCCTTTCACCTCACAGGTGACCAAATTACTTGCTCAAACTTTAGGTATTGAATGGACCTTTCATGTCCCATACCACCCTCAAAGTTCAGGGCAAGTTGAACGCATGAATAGAACGATTAAAGAAAAGATCATCAAAATCCACCAGGATAGACAAATGAATTGGGTCGAGGCTCTCCCCCATGTTTTTTTAGCGATTAGGGCTCTGCCAAACAAAACTACTGGTTTGTCTCCCCATGAGGTTTTGATGGGTCAGCCTTTTCCTTTATGTCTTCAAGTCCCTGAAGACACTGCCATGAATTTGACCTGCTTACAGGAAGCACAACAGGAGTATGTAAAACTTTTGTTCTCTTTTGTTGCCAAGTATTCTCAGCAGGTGATAAACTCCATCCCGTTGCCCTCAGAGAAACCGATCCATAACTTTTCTCCTGGCGACTACGTTCTGGTCCGCAGCCTGAATCCCACTGGGAAGGACCCATGATACGGACTTGCTGTTCAAGTCCTCCTCACCACGGGCACTGCAGTCAAGGTTAAGGGCCAGCCACAATGGATACACATGATGCGGCTCAAAGCAGCTCCGCCAGCGGTGCACCCGTTGACTGCTCCTGGTTCTGGTTCTGCAACTCCCAAACCCGATTGAGAAAGGCAACCTACACCTCCATATCTATACATCCACTCATTAACATTATGGTTACCTTATATGCTTTTATTGGTGGATTGATATTGTGCAATACCCTCCTTTATGGCGCTATTGGCAGCAACATACCTACAGGGGGGTTAGATTTGGATTTTTGGACTATTGAAAAAGGAAGCGAAAAGTGATCAAGCAGTCCAGCGGATCATGACGCATGTCAAACGAGCTATGACCAGAAAGGCAATAAAGCTCACACCCTACTAAGATGTCAGTCATCTTAATAACCAACCCCTTAGTGAAAATGAAATGCAATGTTTGTTTTATGCTTTGACACCCAAAGGAGCAACTAAACCATATAATATTAACAATGTCACTTATTTACAACTTAACGCTCAAACTATACATCTATTTGTTGAATACCAATCCGAAACCAATGAGACGATAGATTCAAAACCTTTCCCGATTCATACCATGACATCGTATCCCACAGTTGACTTTTGTAATGATTACTGGAAATCTATCCTCCTCATCATCTGAGTCATCTGAAGAATTCGAGGATGGGGAGGCATGAAACCAGTTGATTTCATATTGACCCATTGAGTGTCAAGGCTCCATAGGGTATAGGGTTAGTCCATTTTATCTTCAGGTGGGTTGACAAGTATTTTCGCTGCTTTTGTTCATGGTTTTGTAGGGTTTAGGTGGTTCAGTCGTTGGTTTAGGGTAGAGGGCAGCCTCAAATCCTATGGCCCTTTGTGGGCTGGTTTGGTGTGGCTGACCCTACTTATGTTTGTTTAGTCAACCCACCCTTTTGTTTTAAGTGACACTGGTCATTAGTTTTATGTAACTATTGGTTTGAGGAAAGATAAAAAAATAAATAAATAAATAAATAATAAAATAAAAGTAAATGAATAAAATAAGTACATTAAAAAGAAAAAAACGAAGGACTGTTAGGATGAGTTTCTTTAGCCAGTCATATCAGGCCTTTAGAGTGTTGGAGTGCGCATTGGGATGGTTTTGTTTCCGTACCAGCACCGCGCACAAATAGGTAAATGTTATACTCGGTAGGTGCGGAAATTAAGGTGCAAAAGACAATAAAAACGCGTTACAAACCCGATAAAAAAAGCATATTTTTACGGCGCGCGCTCGTGCTCCAGATGGGGACCCGACAACTCCTGGAGGACAAATTAAGCACTGGGTATCCCCCTTTTGATTCATTGTATTAACATAAATAAAAACCTTATAATGATATAGCAGGTATTTAAGCAGTTCTTCATTGCAGCATTTCATATGTGTGCCAGTATGTGTAAGCAGTTCTTCATTGTAGCATCATGTGTGCCATTAAGTGCAAGCTGTTCTTCATTGCAATTATAAGCAGCAAGCAGTTCTTCGTTGCACATGCGTGTGGAAATAACAAACAAAGCCATGCAACAAACAGATAAAAAAATCACAATATACAAGCATAAGCTAAAACCTTCATATCAGCAGGGTTCATCATGATACTAGGAACAGAACCTCTTACCCGGTGAGGCGGCGGACACGAAAATAGAGCCCCCTATGTCTCAACTGATAGCATGTCTGCAATGAGCACAATAATCACAAGAAAACTATAAGTATCATGCCTCTACATGTGTGCAATGCTATATGAGGGTATGTGGTAACTTCAGCAAATTTAGAAAGATGAAATTCAGGGGTACAAACAATGGTCTTCATCAGCATCCTTGTAAGCTGCAGTCCCATCCTCTCTGGGCTCAGAGAGAGAGACCAGTGGAACAGTTTCACCTGCATACTGTGATAATTGATAAGGAGGTGATGTGGAGAATTTATCATTAATGGCCTTGGTGATACACTTTAGATAGAGGTGCCTGTTGCATGGTATGCAGCAACATTTACATAGGGTTAGCATAATTACTGCAACTACTAAATAACTATGGAATAAACACGAACATAACCAATGTTGTTAAGCCAGTCTGATGACAGATTGTCTATCCCAGAGTGTTCAGCTAACACTTGTGACACAGTTTTGAGGTCAGATAGGGCTCGAGTTATGCAGCCATCTGGGGCTGTGTTGTTAGGGAGGAATACATTGCGATCTTTGGATAACATAACACACACACACCACCTCTTTCGGCTAGGAAGAAATAAAAGGCCATTCTTTTTTGGTCAATGGCATCTTTAGTCATATTGCTGAGCCTTCGAACATTAAAATAAATTTAATGAAATTTGTCCACATTTTGTTTGTAGTGACCCACCAAAACAGGAATGTCTCAAACCCTGCAGCAACTTTGTCAACTAAGTTATATTCATCAGGCACCAATGTGGGTCGGGGGAGTTCTGACATCAAGTCAAATGAGCAACGTTTAAACCTGCGGGAATAGAGAAAGTTACGAAGGGTGGTGGATTGCCATGAAGTAACTACTGAGGCTGAGGCTTTGATAATCTGATCTGGAGCTATTAGTTTAGTCTAATAATTTATTCAGCCTCTCAATAGAACACAATAAAAGACTTTAGCAACAGAAGTGAGGCTCACAAAGCAATAATACAGGACAATGGCACACAATAAAAATTAATTCTATCTGTGAAATGTATTCCTATGTGATCTGGTTTCATGCGTCTGGTTTTTAAACCACAGAGAGTAAAAAAAACGGCATAGTTGCTTGTTCTCCATTGACCCCGTTTGGCTCTTGAGTGAGCCTGGAGTGGGGAGACACATCCAGTATGGCAGTGACGCTGGATCACGCTCCAGCACATAATGAGGCGTCTAAGTATATAATGTCTATGTCTTCCTCCACCCCAGCTGTCACGCCTGCATTCACCTTGCTGAACAATGTCGTCAACCCAGTGACAACTGACGACAGTGTCACCATCTTGCGAAGGACCCTGGGAAGTGCAGTCCCCATTTCCACCGGCGTCCCATTCTTCTTCCTCCTCTTCTTCTTTGTGTTTAATGGCGGTTGGCATCCAGCTTTTTGGTGCATTACTATTCATTACCTCCTCTCTCTGCACTTCATATCTCCTACACCTCAGAACTACATGCTCCACAGACTCCTCTTCCTGACAGCTCTCACACAAGCCTGTCTGGTGCTTCCCTATCAGTTTCAGTGTTTTATTTAGTGCACTATGCCCCAACCTTAATCTTGTCAACACAACCCCTTCTCACCTGTACCCACTGCTCTTCCTCTCACTTCTAATACTCTTTTGAATTTGATACAGATGCCCTCCCTTCTCCTCTTCATCCCTCCTTCCCTGCCGCATTACATTTGCCTTTTCCCAGATTACACTTTTAATTTCTGCCTTGCTTATACTGACCTGCAAATCTACACTTCTTTTCAATAAAGCTCTCTTGGCCAACTCATCTGCCCTCTCATTCCCCCTCACCCCTACGTGCGCTGGAACCCACAGAAACTTTACCTGACCTCCCTGATGAACTATTCTAGTAATTGACTGAAGGACTGAGTGTAGTATGTCTTGATGGCTGTTTGAATGGGATGACCTTAAACTCGCTAGCACTGATGATGACCTTATCTGTATTCATGTAGCTTTCGGTCATGTCATATAAGAATAAGAAGAACTTTATTGATCCCCAAAGGGAAATTCCATTGTCTGTTGTCTCATGTAATATGTCTATAAAAGTTATCTATCATTTACATAAGAGTTACAAAGCCTGATGGCTGTTGGTACAAAAGATCTTTTAAATCTTTCTGTCCTGCAGTGAAGAGAGAGGAGCCATCCACCACCATCGGCCCTTTGGTCCATCAAGGTGTTGTGAAGTGGGTGATCCATGTTCTTTAGAATAGTCTCCACCTTCCTCAGTGTAGATCTCTCCACCACATCCTCCACTGAGTCCAGCTTGAATCCAACCACAGAGCCAGCCTTTTTCACCAGTTTGTTAAGACGTCTTGCATCTTTGTGTTTGATGCTTCCTCCCCAGCAGACTGCAGCATAGAACAGAACACTTGCCACCACAGACTGATAAAATATCTGCAGCGTCTTACTACAGATGTCTATTGATCGGAGTCTTCTCAGGCCCCTTTCTGTAGATGTAGTCTATATTCTTAGACCAATCCAACTTATTACCCAGATGTACACCTAGGTATTTATATGATGTCACCACTTCGATGTCCACTCCACAGGTGTTCACTGGCTGGAGAGGGGGTTTGGATCTACGGAAGTCTATGACCATCTCCTTTGTCTTTGAGGTGTTGAGGAGGAGGCAGTTTTTGTGACTCCAGTCACTGAAGGCTTTTATTAGATCTTTGTATTCAGCTTTTTATCCATTTCTGATACATGCCACAATAGTGGTGTCATCTGAGTATTTCTGGATGCGGCAGGACTCAGTACTGTAATTGAAGTCTGACATGTACAGTGTGAACAGGAATGGTGCCAGCACTGTCCCTTGTGGAGCCCCTGTACTACTCATTAATGTCTCAGAAACACAGTTCCCCAGCCTGACAAACTGTGCCCTTCCTGTCAGGTAATCTGTGATCCAGGAAACACAGGAAGGATCCACTCCCATCTCTGTGAGCTTGTCTTTGAGTATGGTGGGTTGGATGGTGTTGAATGCACTTGAAAAGTCGAAGAACATGATCTTCACATAAACCCCAGGTTCCTCCAGATGAGACAGGGCACGGTGAAGCATGTAGAGGACAGCATCATCCACTCCAATGTGTTCTTCGTATGCAAAGTGCAGGGAGTCCAGTTTGTCTTTGACCTCAGACTTCAGAAGGCGTAGAATCAGCCGCTCCAGGGTTTTCATGATGTGTGAAGTGAGGGCCACTGGTCTGTAGTCATTGAGTTCAGCAGGACATTTTGTTTTTGGTACTGGCACAATGCAGGATGTTTTCCACA